CAAAAAATGAAATAATGTATTACAAATTACATTGTTGTACGCCATAATTATAAATAATTATGTCGTATTACATATGACAAAAAAAAGATACAAAATAGTGCACATTTACATTTATTCCTTGTTTCCTTTGTTTAATATAAGCGTAGGTAGATGAAATTTGTAAATATTTCAAATATACATAAAAAATATACAGAATAAATTAAATAAGAAAATCCGAAATTTTAAGGTCACTCATAAACAAAATTACAATCATAAGGAAACTTAATATTCATTGCACACTTTCATTGAGTTTCAATTTTTAATTTCGTTTAAAAATAAATTTTAAACTAGTTCCATATATATATATATACTTTATAGATTTTAAGCTGATTTTAAAAAAATAACTTGAGAAATCATTAATGTGCATAGAATAGGAATAAGCAGATAGAATTTTTGATTATGAGGCAAATCACTGATCTAACATTAGTTTGCGAGTTCTGAAAATTTAAAAATAGTTTGATAATAATCTATCTTTGAATGGATGATATAATTTTAAAATCTTTTGTAAGTTATTTTTTAATTTTGCATCATAACAGACATGTGTCAACAATATATTCTTACGATATTTATTTTAACAACATTCTTAGTAATTTTTATTTTTTTCAAAATAGAAGTACTCGTCTAATGAGATTCTATATTATATTACCAAAAAATGAAAGTCTGCATATGTAATTTGCATATAATCCCAGGTAATCGAAAAATATATTCTTATCATATTTGTGCTTTTATGCAATAATAGTATTCTGGACGATTTTGTATAGTATATACTAAAACTTAAGTGTAAAATATATCTCTAAGATCTTGTAAAAATAAATGTTTAAATTAGAAATTTAATAGTTTTTAATCAGTCAACATTAGTGCCGCATTTCTGATATTTATGTCTCTTTCGCACTTCCATCCCCCTACGATAAGATTTTTCATCTAAATCTAAAGCCTTTACCATAGCCCGACTTCGCCATATTTTAACTGTATAGTCATCACTGGTTGTAACTAACATCTCAGGATCGCGTGGATTAAAAGCCACTGAATTGACTACATCACTATGGGGAAATTTTGCTAAACAGATTCCATAATGTCTATCCCATAAGTAACCGTGTTTATCTTCCGCACCACTGCAAACAAAAATTTTATGGCAACTATTTTATATTTTGGAAAGTTAAATCTTGATTAAATTAATAAATTAAATACAAGCGTATTAATTACCTTGCTACGTATTCATTACATACATCCAGAAATATAAAGAAACATTCATTATTAGGCGTGTATGCTTTGTGTGCCCTTAACATCGTGCCAACTTGCTTCAGTGTTACCAAGTCGATTACATGAATATCGATTTCTTGAGCTATCGGCGGTGGTTGTAAAGGATTGGTAATAACGTAACCCTTCGGCCACGGCCTCGAATTTACATAAAGATATCTGAAAATCCATGCATAATTAAATGTCTATACATCTCAAGTACATTTATTCTACATGACTATGCAACTGACCTATGATCGGGAGAAAGTCCCATTCCAATAATGTGACCATGGAGATCAATTAAATGATCTATTTTATCAAATTTGTCCGCCACAGATTCATAATTTAACCAATCTTCTACTGATGGAGTATTCTGTCTCTCTCGTTCCCTCTTTTGTTGAGCTATTCTCTCGCGCAGTGATGGTCCCGGATCCAATCTTCGTGGGAAAGTAACTAATTTGATCCTCTTAAAACCAACTTTATGCGGAGTATATGTTTTTGAGCCAGTTGTAAAGATAAGAAGTTTTTCGGGATTATTGGCTAACTCGTCTGTATCACATTCTTCGGTTATTGAAGATTCTGTAAACTCATTTTTTGTCATCATGTCCTACACAGTGATTAGGATAGCCGATTACAGTTATTTCCTATTGCTATGTATTACATGCGTAATTTGCCTACCTCCAGACTCGCTCTCCTCCTCCCATTGCGGATTCTCACTTTCGCTATCGCTTTCGTGTGCCTTCTTCTGCAGCTCAACCTGCCTATATTCCTGATTGTATTGTATAGGACTAGCATATTCGAAACCATCACCCAGTTTCCTCCAATTCGAAAATGCACCTTCTAATTTACTATATCTATCATGTATATATATTACGTATATTAACATCCACATATTAACAAGAATATGTAAGATCTATTCTTAAATTGAAAACCTTGAATTCGTTTCGTTTTTGATACGAAGAAACGTTTCATACAAAAGTAAAACGGTCTCATAAGGAACGTATTTCGGTCACGTTGTTCTTTTTCTAGGTGGAAGTGCCAAGAAGATATGAAGATTACTTCTACTTTTTTTTAATGGAATTATATAATTTTTTTACATAATATGATTCCTCTAATTATTCTACGTATAAAAGGTAAAAATATGAAAAAAACCAATGAGATATTTTACACTTTATTTTAGCACATATAACATGAAAGATTAAATATATTGGTTTTTTTTATATCTGTACCTTAATATTATCCCCCTCGAAATCGTCTCATTTTCATCTAAAACATTTTTTCCGTATCATCAAAAATGAGTGAAATAGTCAAGGTTTTCAATTTAAGTGGACCATACTATGCGTAAAAAAAAGAAATTTTCACATACTGTATTCTTGATGATGAAATGTAGTATATTGGTTCTTCCTGACTTTGCGAGCTATTAGATTCGCCTGAAGGAGACAACAAATCCTTGTGACTTGGTGGATTTCCTTTTTCTTCTTTTGTATTTGAGGAAGATGGTTGGCTCTGTTGTTCTGTGGATTCAGCTGGAGCAGGTGCTAAACAATTTGCAACCATAATCGCTCTAATTGAGGAAGCATTTCCATTATAGAACCTGAAAAATCATTCGCAACGGCATGAAAAAAATATTATAATCCATTTAAGAAAATTTGTTTATGTTTCTAACAAGAAGTCAAAGATTCAGATCGATTAAAAAAATATACCGAGTTGTTACTTTACCTAAAGAGTTGCGTCATAATGGGCACATGTTCGCTAGCTGATTCCTGGTTTGCCTTATTGAGCCAAACTACGCTAGTACTAACCAAATGTGCCAACCAATGTAGATTTCCACTTAAAAGGTAACGTTCGCTGTACCATGTACCAAATATGTCATACGGCTTATTCATTACTCTACACTGGAGATCAAATCCAGCTACAAATAGACAAAAAATACATATAAGAATGTATTGGATAGAGATAATTTCTTTTATCAAAATCTATCGTCTATCTGTCTATCAGATAAGATCTTGTTGACTCCCAGTTTAAGATTTATTTTAGATAAGACCTTAATTTCACTTACGTGCTACTCTGAATACTGCTATTTCACCCGAAGTACTATGGGGTGTACCAAAATGGACACCAGACACAAGAAGTAACGTATCTGTACAATTGAACTGGGAAAATTGTGTATATTTCCAACTAAACGTCTTCATATCATGCCAATATTTTATGGTAACCGGATACTGACTTTGCCATACCTAAAACAAGATGATGTGAATGATAAATATAAGTATATGAATGAAAGTAATAATTGGAAAATGAAAGAAGAGCTTACAAGAATATATCCATCTTTTGAACAAGTTGCAAACATTTTGCCATTATGGGAAAAGCTCACGTGTAAGACCTGATGTGAATGTTCTTTAAGAACTTCAGTTTCTATCAATGGAGTGTGATATGCCAAGCGTTTGAATTCACCCAACCAGGAAGTTTTTCCTACGAAAGAATAATCAATATAAAGAATATATTGATAAAACATATACATATGTATTTAATAATAAAAAATTTATTATTACATATATTTATATAGTATTATAAGACGTGATTTTTCTATGTACATAAAAAGATATTCTGAAACACCATTTGTCAAAAGATAAAAATTGAAAATATACAAGATTGTTTTATAAGAATATATAACGACAAAAGTAGCATTATAACAAAGCAATAATCAATGAACGTTGCTACTAATCTGAATAATTAGGAATTCATGAATTACAAATTAATTCATTTAAAAAAAAAGTTTACTTTGTTATACACACATTTCTTTGTCTTTAAACACTGTTTTATTATTTTATCTATTATTATTGCTTTTACATTTATTGTATCTTCATAAATGCCGTATGTGAAATCATTATCCGACGTGGTCGAATCTAACAATTTTGCTCCGAGTATGAATGGATCTTCTCGGAAAATAGACGGTACAAATTTATATTTTCTCTACGCAATATCCGGCGGAGAATGTTATTTTCGATCGCGTGAAAGTGCCGCGAATACTTAGTGGCAAGACATACCTGGCACAATGCCGACGTCCGGATCTATCTTGTACGTACGATAAAATAAATACTTCCAGAGGAACTCATCGCGCGACACTCTGAACCACGATCGGCACACCTCGCCCGCGGTCAACAATTCCCTCGGCGTCAGGTACTGGAAGATGCTCAGGAGAATCGAGTCCGACATAACGTACCAGTTGAATTCACCGGATTCACCCTCGCTACGCGACGAATACTCGCTGCCGTCGTCCGACTCGCTGACGTCCTCCACGTCCTCGTCGGACGGTCCAGGCCGGTCATCTCGCGCGGTATCCTCCACGTCGTCCATCGTCGACGCGCGGTTTATTTACTGGAACAGCTGATATCTGTCAGCTACTGCACTGGTCGTGAATCAGTCGTTAGTGCCGTCGTCACGTCAAGGATAAGGAAGAACGCGAGTTCGACTCGAGGTTAGAATTGGTTAAAATTCACGTAGTCCGCCACTCTCCGAGGCCGTTCACGAACGAGAACGAGTACAACTGCATCGCGTCATTCGCGTCCGCGTCGCGCAACACCTGCACGCACGGTAAAAATACGATACGAGCTGCTGCATGAATTGCATCTCGGAAGCGGCACGTATTCGTGCCAATTCGTGCCCATTCGTGCCCGACGTATGTTTCCGTGAACGGATTAATTTCCACGTTATCTTTCAATGAATTTCGGAACACCCTGATTGATTTGCTCTGATCCTGATCTGATATTCCTGATGTTCTGATATTCTAAAAGAGAACGTACGTAATGTGTTTCTCCTCGCTTCACGATTACTACGAACTACGAGAGTCGCTGGACTAGACTGTTTCTTATAAGTTTCTTTTACCTGCTTTTACTTACACTCTCTAAATGAATAAGTAGGCCTTGAAGATAAAGAGAGCCGAGAAGTCTAAATATAAAAAATGAAAGTAGAAACTGCATGCTCCAAACCACTTGACGAATTGACGCTCGCAATCACTCGCAATGTTCTTGAAATCATTCCATTCTTTGTTTATTCAATGTTAAATAAGGACAAACAATGCTCGCAAATACGTGAGCGTCAACAAACGATAGAAAACTAGATTATTTATCCTACTCACACTTTACTGCACTTGGAAACACAATTAAACAATTGAGATTGTCCTTTGTCATTCTTTGTATTGAACGCTTTGTATTTTTTCATCATCTCTCTCTTTTTCTTCAACTCTTATCTTATTTATCTTATTTTAAGTGCAGAAAGTACGATATAGTGTAGATATAAAGATCAGATCCTCGTGTTTACCTTTTTCTACGAATTTCCTAACCTCTAGCCTAAAAAGTTTACTTATAATTTTATTACTGTTGAATTGACTATTTATAAATAAAATTTATATTTTTACAGATTGCAGTAGAAGAACTTGGTAAGAATATAGTAACTTTTTATGCACGATTTTTTATATAAAATTATAGAATATGTATATACATGTTTTTTGGATTACCTCATTATTAATAAAAAGAAAAACAAAATTAAAATAAATGTAAATGTTTGTAAATAAAAATAAAATGTTATGTGTAGAAAATGATTTTAAAAGCAAATTAACATTTTATAAAATTTTTAGAGTTGCCTCTTGTGACATAGAGTGAAAACAATTTCAAAATGTTGAATCTAATTTTGAGGCATCCTATTATTCCTAAAACTTTACTAACTCAAGTACGATCTGTCCATGGAATCACACAAAAATATTTTATATGTGACAAGAATATATTTTCAGCGGCAATGACTATTAGAATGTTTCTAACGAGATGCATAAGGTAAAGAAATATAATTATAATAAAACTTTTGATAAAATATATAAGAATAATAATATATCTAGAAATATTTTTAAGTTTTAATCATTGATTATTAAGAGAATGTTTGTATAAACATTCTCATATATGTACAGGATATTCTTGATCGCTATTTTGTTACTTCTTTTAATTAGAAATGAAAGAGAAAGATTAAAAAATAGAATATTATGTCAAAATATCAATATTATTTTACTGATTATTTGAAATTTAGTGACATTTAATTACTTTACATTGAAAAATATTAATTTCAAATGGAAGCTAAAATTAACTATAGGATTTCCTGTATATTTTATAGTTATATATACGAGGGTCGTTTGAAAAGTCCGTGCAAAGTCACTGCTGATGGCACTACTGGCGCGTATCAAGGTTAGATTTAGTTAGTAGCATCTCTTGGAGGAACACACACCAAGTTACAGCCAGATCGGTCTATTTGTTTGTGTTTGGCATTCATTTGAATCGAGGAAGTCGAGGGGGGTTTGTTTCTGCAATCACGTCCTCGTTTCCATAAAATCTTTTTCCCGCCAGCCATTTCTTCATATTGGGGAACAAATAGTAGTCCGAGGGAGCCAAGTCTGGAGAATAGGGGGGATGTGAGACGAGTTGGAACCCTAATTCCATTAATTTTGCGACCACAACTGCTGAGGTGTGAGCTGGTGCGTTATTGAAAATCACTCGACTTCCTCGATTCAAATGAATGCCAAACACAAACAAATAGACCGATCTGGCTGTAACTTGATGTGTGTTCCTCCAAGAGATGCTACTAACTAAATCTAACCTTGATACGCGCCAGTAGTGCCATCAGCAGTGACTTTGCACGGACTTTTCAAACGACCCTCGTAAAACCTTATAAAACAATATAAATAAAAATTATCTGTAGATTATCTGCTGGAGCAACACGACAAACAAGAGAGAGTTTCCTTAAATCAAACAAATTGATACAAAATTTATTAATACAGCGTCGACAAATGTCACAATTGGATGTAAACACAAATGTACAGAACAATGTAATTTTATATAAATTTGAAAGGAATACATATTTTCGAAATTTCCAAATTTTTGGAGCTGTACAATTATTTTGTTGTTCAGTATTGGCTTTTTATAGTTATACTTCATCATTCTGGGATATACACAGGGAAAACTTAAAAGAACATTTACTGAAATACATGTTCCGATTTGGCATATTTTTCTTTGCAATTATGATAGGTAAGAATTATCTTTTATATTTATATGTATGTAATATATAGAGATTCACGTTTTACTTATGCAAAAATTCATATTTTTATCTTATTTGCTAAACAATCCTTTACATAAAATGGAGCAAATAGATTTTATTCTTTTTGAGATTGTATTTATTTTGTAGGTCCCCTTGTGTATCTTTACATTTATGCTACGTGCGCTCGTAGCATCAAATACATTATTTTAAATAAAGGTGGTAAAACACTTTCAATTATTACTTATCATATGCAAAAGAAGAAATCCAAGCTAAATTTACCAGTAGGAATGGTAAGAAACATTTACATAATAATTATAAATATAAAGTTATAATAAATTATATATTTGATATACATAATATTTTATATACATAATATTAATAATAATATATAATAATTTTAGAGCGTGAATACAAAGATAAAAAATAAAATTTTTTCTTTATTTGACATGTTTCTTACATTTGAAATATTTTTTTAAGGTAAAATCTACCGCAGACAGACAAGATAATATAGGAATGTACCTACCACTTAAAATAAAAAATAGATCTTTTTATTACCTAGTTGATAAAAATGGCACTTTTGTAAATTCAAGACTTTTTGATTATGTAATGGGATAATTATTTAATTTTATGGATATATGTAGTATTATTACCAATATGTTCTTTTATTATAATACATTGAACATATTTATTTAAAAAATGTCATTACCGTCATATATTTATGCTTTATGTATAAAATATAAATATATGCTTAGAATTATCTATTATTAGAAAGATGTTATTAATATATCGATATACTAAATTGCGAATTACCAAGTTAACGTTAAAATTTCTTAATGTTATTTTTCAGGAAAAGAAACTATTCTTTTTTTTTTTTCAGATGATTTATATTAGTATTACACAAATTACAAATATAAAATATATTGACAATTTGTATTTTCTGGAAAAGAAAAAATAATGTTAGTACAATATCTATGCACAAGAGTCCATATAAGTATATTTTATTGCACTGAGATTAGTTTTTTATTCGTCATTGGTTTTTCCAAATCTCTTACGAGTTGGTAGAATGTGTGTGAATTGGTACTTTAATTAATGATCGATACTATTCTTTATATTCCAATCAATATCTTTGATTTTGCCTGTCATAATACTTTCCCGAGTATTTACTGTATCGATCGCTATAGCCATCATCCTGGTATTTGTCTTCGGCTTTATAATAAACTTCAGGTGCTGTAGAACCAACACGACCTTGCCAGTAATGAGTCCAGTATAGATCTTCTGGATTAATATCGTGTGGATGTCTGGCATTTTTGAACACATGTACGCAATACACGAGACTACCGATCAGTGTCAAAAATCCAAACACAAGAAATACTATTCCCAAGATCCTAAAAAAAATTGCATTTTGTATAAAATTGTATAGAATACACCACTCCAATTGTGCAATCTATACATTATGCTCTCTTTCAATTCCTTACTATTAATTATTAGAAATACAAATCGATATACATATATATAAAACTTTTGCAATTTTGTCTTTTATAATCGAAGTAATTATAATTACTTTAATACATATTTATATAAATTATAAATCGCGCGCGCGTGTGTGCGATGTAAAAATTAATCACACAGTACTCTTACCAAACGACTAACGGCTGGAAAAATTGTATGACGATAACGAAACCTAAAGTAACTAGAATCAAGCCAAGATTGAGAAGTAACATGAGGCAGCAAACGCCCTTAGTGTTTGGGCAGAATGGATTAGGCGTTGACATAGTTTCCACGATAATACCGCCTTTTCGTGACGTACGAGTTTTCACTGTCGAAGTGCCTGACCTGCCGGAACCGTAGCTATAATGACTAGGCGCTCTGTGGTCCAATCTGGAGCTTGGTGCGAGACTACGGCGTGATACCCGACTATAATGGAAAATACACATTTTCTATTACAGATATATTTATGGGATATTGAATGCTACGTGTTTATAAATCTGAGCGACCTTATGTCGGAAGTAGCTCTATATGCAGCACTGGTGACATATATATCTGAACCATTGTCACAAATACTGCCATGCGAGGCACTTTTGCGAAGCGGATGCAAACTATGCTTCGAAGATCCGGACAGGACCGAATCGCGAGTGTTATGCGCACTTCTGGATCTTCTGTCTTCTTCTCTGTCATACTTGTCCGTGGGATTCTTTCTTGTAGGTTTTACCTATAAAAGAAGAGTTTGAGAAAAAAATTATAAATAATAATTAAAAAATATAATTTAAATGTACGTTATATATGTATATAAAAAGGCGTATGTATTTTACATTATGTACACTAATATATGTAGAATAAAATACGTTTTAATCTAAAAGAATGTCTTTGCCCCATCATGAGTATAAAATGCATTACCATAGTGGTATGCTCGTTAGCAACGATATACTCAGACACGGTGCGGTCCGAAGGAGCTTTATGGCTCTCTTCACCATCTGTAATGTAATCACGATTTCCGTTAATATGATATCCAGCATATTTCGAAGTATGCATTTTGAAGTATCAGTCGTCGACTTGTGCACAAGGAGCGTCAAAGACAAGTAACTAATTAATAAAGCTTATTTAGCTCTATCTAAAACAGAAATAAATATCAATTTATCGACAAATCGATTATCAAAATTATTACAGTCACTTTTTTTTTTCAAAAAAACCACGTAATGATTATACTTACTCTGCATGGATGCAACGTAGAATGTATCCGTTTCCATTCTTACTTAAAATATATTGCATATTTTCAAAGAAAATTGTGCGTCATACGCATCATTTACACCGTCAACCTGCAACAAAAATACTTTTTTTTTACGTCGCTAAAAGGAATAGACATTCTTAAATCTTTTTTCTTTTTTCTTCATATTCTCCGTTTTTAGTGTTGTTTAGTAACGGCATTTAGGATGTATTTTATTATATAGATAATATCCTTTGTGATTGAATATAAATTTAGCGTAAGGTGTGGCGTTCCTTTAAATGCTGCCTGCGCATAAAGATTGCAAAACGGTGCATCATTATGGGATTGTCTCGCGACCGTAGGCAGTGATGCCCACGAGGCGTTCATCGCATTGGGTAAATCCTTATTTAGTACGATGATGTCACTTGGCAAGGACATGTACGTGCAACATCTTCGATCAATACATAAAGCGCATATATAACTCTTCGCCTCTCGTTGATCGTTTTCTCGCGATTCTTTCAAGGTAGTTTCTTATTGTTCGTTTCACAACAAATTATCTGTCATAGTTACATATCTTTAATGTGCACGTGTGTTTAGCGCATCGTGAAATTTTTTTGGCCGGCATATTTACAAATCGATTCTTATGTAT